CATTCATCCAGAAGTTGGGTTCCTCATGTGTAGCGAGTACAGCAATGGTTCAGGAAGATGTACTTTGGGTGGATGAAGATAGCTAGGTAAACTTGCTCTTGATCTTATGTGTCATCCTACAAAATACTCCAATAAGAACACCAAAACACATGGCATAGACTAGGATAAGGGGTTAGCGATCAGTCATTCAAAGATTTATTGTCCTTGTGGGTTTAGATAGATTTTCTTTTGGTAGAATTTTAGCATGATGTCTGTTTAGTATTTTTAAATTTTCTATTTTATGATATGTAGAACAAAAAACATGTATGCATAGCATTTTTTATTTTTATGCCACCACAGTGAATATTCCCATGGGTTTTTACACACCATAGATTTATTCATATGAGGCTTTATGATGCAATGATGAAATGTAGTCATGAAACTTTTTATCTTTCTTTTATTAACACAATATAAATGCAGAGAAGTAAATATGCTAAAGTGAAAAATAATTTATGCAATGCTAGAAAGTAAATATGGATAACTACCGTTGTTACCTCACGGTGAGGGTTCAGATTTTTAAGTCCTCCGGACATGACTTAACTGGAAGAAGTCCTTCATTCCTTAGGTGCATCATCCGATCTCAGCGGTGGAGACTCAGATGACTGCACTTCTTGTGATGGTGATTCCGATGATGATGTCACCTTTTCTTTCCACACCTGCCTAGACTGTGGACTTGTCTTAGGCGGAGTAGGTTCATCTTTCACAGGTGCTTCATGTTCTTCATCTTCCCATTCATTCCATCGGGGTTGGTTTCTTTGACGTTGGGATGATCGACGTCTCCTCCTAGAGCGGCTCTTCTTCGGCTGTTCATAAGTAGTATAACTATTAAAATAACAGTATACCTTTTTTCTAGGGAATTGGAAGTGGACTTGTCCAGATCCAACGTAGATGATCGTGTTGGTGGTGTTGAGGAACGGTCTTCCAAGGATGATGGATGTATTATCTTCTTCTTCTTCCATGTCCAGGACCATAAAATCAGCAAGAGTATAGTGATCTTGTATTCTCACCATAACGTCCCTCACTATACCCTCAAGGAATCAGATTGATTGGTTCGCTATCTGCAACTACATATATGTAGGGAACAAAGGTTCATTACCGAATAAATATTCATATGTTACCTTGGACATTATATTGACGCCTGATCCAATATCGCAGAAGGTCTTGTGAAAGATTCTTTTTCCAATGGTACACTTGATTGTCGGTATGCTATGATCATCCTTCTTAGCAAGGAATGGTGAAGCCAGGAGGTGGTCGTACTTACAGATCGGAGTGTGTTGATCATGTTGACCGTTTCTTCTTATGGTTGAATGGTCTTGTTCTTCCTCCTTCTTCGGTTGTTTTTCTTGGTTACTGTTGTCTCTTCGGGCAGGTATGCTTTTTGTGGATGACTAGGAGATTGCAAAATGCTGTTCTTGAAAGAGAACTTCTCCTTTTTATCCTTGATTGTGAAGCAGATCTTAGCATTGTCCATGTAGATGATGGCTTTTGCAGTGCTCAGAAAAGGTCAGCCCAAGATGATGGGTGCCCTTTCATCTCCACCTATTTCTAAAACCACAAAGTCTACGGGAATATATGATTATCCCACTTGAACAATGGCATCTTCAAGAACTCCCTTGGGGTAGCAGAGTGACTGATCTACAAGCTATAAACGCATATTTGTGTACAACAAAGGATCTCCTAAAATTTTCTCATAGATTACTTTAGGCATGATGTTGACACTTGCTCCGAAGTCAAAGATAGCTTCTTGGAAAATGTGAGGTCCAATTGCGATGGGGATGATAGGTCTCCCTGGATCACCTTTCTTGTCCAGCAAGGTATAATCTAGCCACCTTCCGTCGATGGGTCCATGTAGTAGTAAGATGTATTGTGAATATCGATAAGATTTGTAGTTTCTAGATCTTTCGGCTGCCCTGGAATCTAACCTCTGTCGGATGGAGGAACAACAGCCGCCAGCTGAGCAATTTGTGATTCTATCATTTTATTAAAGCTATGCTGGTTCTTAATGGCAGAAGCAAAGCTATCCATTCTATTATTTATGTTTTCTAATATTATATCATTGGTAGCTACCTTCTTAGATAATCCTTCCATAAGTCTAGATTGGCCAACAATTAATTCTCTCAAGGGTGGTTGATTGAAGTTATTATAATTATTACCTTGATGGTTACAATGGTAGTTTGGCCTATGTTGTTGATTCCATCCTTGATTCTGTTGAGGACGATAGTACTTGATGTTGACAAAGTTCACATTATCTTGGATTTCAGGACAGCTATTCCCTGAATGCCCAGTGTTGTCACATACTTCACACGTCGTGCGTGAATCATGAATGTGCACGACTTCTTGCTTTTCATTAGCTCGGTCTTTGAGCTTCTTCATCAGTAGGTATATCTTGGTAGATAGCATGTCTACCTCCTTGAGTTGATGCATACCTCCACCTCTCTTGCGGGTCTAAACACGCTCTTTATTCTAGCCTTGGTTGGAGGCCATCTTCTCCACAAGAGTGGTCACAGCTGGAAGTGTAAGTGACAAGAATGCACCTCCAGCAGCATCCATGGCCTCACGGGTACTATTGGTTAACCCGTGGTAGAACGTCTACATGAGTAGCCAATTTTCCATCCCATGATGAGGACATTCTGATATATAGTCTTGAAAGCATTCCCATGCCTTAGGGACATATTCATCATGTTGTTGCTAAAAACTTGAAATTCTCCCATGCAGGGCATTGGTCTTGCTTGTGGAAAAAAACTTTGCTAGGAAGGCAGTGGAGCAATTATTCTATGTAGTGTTTCTGTCTTTGTTGGCATAGAACCACTGCTTCGCCTTTCCCGAAAAGTGAAAATGGGAAGAGGCAAAGTAGTATGACGTACTTGGTTACTCCCTTGATGGTGAAAGTGCTGTAGATCTCCAGAAAGTGTTGGAGATGTGCACTCGCATCTTCATGTGCCTTTCCACAAAATTGGCTCGCTTGCACCATATTGATGAGAGCCGGTTTGAGCTCGAATCCATTGTTCCCCACATTGACTGTGGGTCTAGTCCGAATGTTGGTAGTGGTTGGAGCAGTGAATTCACGGAGAGTCCTGTCAGCCATGGCTTCAAATTCTGGTGTTAAGCTTCGCCTTATATGGTTGTCTTTCGACTCTAAAGCTGAAACTTTTTTGAATTTAGCCTTAGTCCTCTTAAGTAATGCTTCTGGATCGTCAACGTAGTTTGTTGGAAGGTCAAAATCGGTCATACATTACCCTGCATAAGATATAAAAGTAGACAAAACAAGGATAGGCCTGTTTGAGCAGAGGCCAATGGTTTATCTCGATCACATCAATAAGTATAAGTTTATCAATACTTCCTTTGCCTAGCTACCTTTCCCGGCAACGACGTCACAAATGCTTGTTGGTATTTATTAACTTGTCACTTATTTTAATAGCCACCTATTAATTACCTACATCTCCTAACATTACTTTACTAGGTTGTCATCCCTAGTGATGGTGCCAGAGATGCTTGTTGGTGCTACCTAGCATCACTACTAGAATGATATTAAGTAGTTCTTTATCATCTTATGTGACTAGAAAGATTATATAGATATGAATGAAAAAGAATCTGCAAGCGCACATATAATATACCATTGTAGCACTTTGACCCAAGAGTATTCCATGTATCGTTATTTATATTTTTACCATAGGGAAGATCTAGTATGGACAAGTATTGATAACTTATACTATTGATGGAGGAGTAAACTATAACCAATATTCTACTCATAACAGGGGTAAGTCATAGGATAAGATATATCTATAAGAAGTATTGATCAATGATAATGATAAATCAATTAGAATACTCCTTTCTATGGCATTAGCATGGTTAGGTAGAATATTAGAGAAATAATTCTTCAGTCATCCTTAATTATAAGTCAAAGCATACATTGATTAGTGCAATTATACCTAATAGTCATTGTTGAGATCATCTTCATATCTACACGTAAGGGATATTACTAAGGCAGATTAAGAACATAGCTTGTCCCCCTTCATAACCAGATCCTATATGCTACCTACATTAGGGAGTGGACTACAAATGACTCAACGGGAGTGTGACGTCCGCGATCTACCACATGACCTAGAATATAGGGTGTATTTGCAGGTAAACAATGTATAAGCACCACGCTTACATAATGTCGACCACCCACCCATGGTACCTTAGAGTGAGCGCTATACGAACTTATACATGAACATGATGATAATCCAACTATACTAAGCATATAATCAAAGTAGGCAATGAACATTATAATGAAGAACATGAATAAGATAAATACTAATATTGTCATAACAATTGTAGTAAACATATAAAAATAATGGAGATACAAAAGAGAGAGATGGTACAAACAGTATATCGAACCACACTCTTAACACGATCGGGAATTCAAGCGAAATCTGCTTGCCTCCCTCTAGACCTAGCCTAACTAGCTATGATTAGGGTTTCGGTCTTCTCAAATGACTTAATGCCTCTAGGGGGCAGGGGCTGATATATATAGGCCGGAGCGTTCAACGTGAGCCCTTGGATCAAACCGACTTAAGGAACGACGTAGATGCAATCTAGGAGGCGGTGGAGAACCGACATTGCAACGCGGAGGCTGACAGGTGAGCCTAGGAGCCGGGCGACCTGCAGGTGGGTCCGGGCAGCAGCCCCTCGCTCTCTGCCTAAGCGCAATTAAATCTGACATGTAGGTTCACCTTAACGGTTTTGTGGATAAACCTCTGCAGAAATCACAGATTCACCAAAACTCGTGAAATTTATTAGTTTAAACCCCTAAACCTTTATTGGTGATCTCAATTATGCCCTTATGCATGTTTTATTGTTGGTTTATAATGGTCGTTAGCATGGATCCGATAAATGGGGGCTGGGACGAACAACTAGTGCGGGACACATTCTGGATGGAGGACGGTGAGGCTATTTTGTCGATTCCAATAGGGGAAGAAATGCCGGATTGGCCAGCTTGGCACTTTGATTCAAAGGGCCTATTCTTAGTGAAATCAGCATATAAGGTTGCAACGCAGAATCGGGACAATGTGGCTGGAAGGAATGCGGAGGTGTCGGTGGGGGGTGGAACAGCGGAAGCTCAATTCCCATGGCACAAGATCTGGCAGCAGAAGGTGCCCAACAAGGTCCAAATGTTCCTGTGGTGATTTATTCACAACAGCCTTCCGGTGCGAAACAACCTGAAAAGATGGAAAGTCAAGGCGGAAACTGTCTGTCCGATGTGTAAAAGATTTTATGAAGATTGTGGACATGTTTTCTTTAAATGCAAGAATGCACGTGAGTGCTGGCGTGAACTGCAAATGGAGGATGCTCGCTGCTGCTTGGCATAATGCAGGTCGAGGAAAGAAGTTGCTGAAAAGTTATGGACAATGCCACCCGAGAAGCAACTGAAGATCGTGGTGTGGCTGTGGAGATGGTGGACGGCGAGGAACAAGGCAAATGCGGGTGAAAGAGTGCAAAGTGCTAGGGAGGTATGCAACTCAGTTCAATACCACCTAAGCGAATTTGCAAAATTAAAAGGACCAGAGAAACAGCGTGATCAACCACAGAAAGTGAAGTGGAAGCCAGCACCGGATGAGCAATACAAGTTGAATGTGGATGCGGCCTTCTCAGCTCTAACAAGGAAGGGAGGATGGGGCTGTGTGGTGAGGAACAATGCAGGTGCTGTACTGGACATTGGGGCAGGCAACATCCAAAGAGCAAGAAGTGCTCTTCATGCTGATGCCTTGGCTGCCCTATATGGCTTGGAGAGAGCAGAACAGCTCGGGATGACAAGGATAATCTTGGAGACAGATGCTTCAAACTTAGGCAAGGCACTGACAACAATTCTGATGGATAGTGGCCCGGAAGGGGCTCTGTTTAGGCAGATTCGGTTTGCAATGGCTAGAAACTTTGTTTCATGCTCCATCTCAATCCGTCCTAGATCATGTAATAGAGTGGCTGATTGTATGGCCAGCCATGGTGTAGCTGCCTATCCTGATGGAGGACGAGCGTTCTGGTGCCAGGCACCAAACTTTGTAAACGAATTTGTCTCCGGCGATTTGCATGGAGCTCTTGGTTTATAAAGTGCTGTGAGTTTCAAAAAAAAGGGCCCTATATGCCTACAGTAATGTTGTGGGTAAGACATCCGATCGTCCGGACGCCCATGTTGGTGGATCTCGCCCGCCCGAATGGCTTAACTCTATCAATCGCACGGATTGCCCGCGTTGCTCAAAAAAATAAAAAATATCTGCTCACTTTCCTCTCGAATCGTCGTCTTGACTGCACCTATTCTCGAATCGCCGGCGGCGCCTATACTCCTCCTCGCTGCTCGCTGAAAGGTCCTAATGGCTAGAGGGGGGTGAATAGCCTAATAAAATTCTACAACAACACTTAACAAAATGTGTTAGACAATTTTGCGGCGAAGCGAGTGTTGCGCTAGCCTACTCAAAGATGCAAGCCACCTACCACAATTCTATTTCGAATAGTGTATATCCACACAATAGCTATGACACTTAGCTAAATTAGTGTGCTCTCAAAGACTAACTAAAGAGCAACACTAATCAAACAAACAAGCTCTCACAACTAGCTACACTAAAGAGCTTGATAACTAGTTTGCGGTAATGTAAGAGTGAGCAAGAGAGTTATACCGCCGTGTAGTGGTAGGAACCAATCAATCATAATAATGAATACCAATGTATACCAATCACCTCGAAATCAAATGATGAACACAATGATTTTTACCGAGGTTCACTTGCTTGCCGACAAGCTAGTTCTCGTTGTGGCGATTCACTCACTTGGAGGTTCACGCGCTGATTGGCATCACTCGCCAAACCCTCAATAGGGTGCCGCACAACCAACACAAGATGAGGATCACACAAGCCATAAGCAATTTACTAGAGTACCTTTTGGCGCTCCGCCGGGGAAAGGTCAAGAACCCCTCACAATCACCACGATCGGAGTCGGAGATAATCACCTCCTCCACTCAACGATCCTTGCTGCTCCAAGCCGTCTAGGTGGCGGCAACCACCAAGAGTAACAAGCGAAATCCGTAGCGAAACACAATCACCAAGTGCCTCTAGATGCAATCACTCAAGCAATGCACTTGGATTCACTCCCAATCTCACTATGATGATGAATCAATGATGTAGATAAGTGGGAGGGCTTTGGCTAAGCTCACAAGGTTGCTATGTCAATGAAAATGTGCAAGAGCGCTCCCTTGAGCCAGCCATGGGGCTATAAATAGAGCCCCAGTGAAATAGAGCCGTTGTACCCCTTCACTGGGCACAACGCGGGGTGACCGGACACTCCGGTCCAATTGACCGGACGCTGGCCCTCAGCGTCCGGTCACGTGATTCACGCCACGTGTCCCCTGCTTCAAATGTTGTTCGTCAGATTTCAACGGTCATGGGTTAACCGGACGCTCGGTAAAACTGACCGGACGCTGGAGCCACGCTGCCGGTCGAGTACATGAAGGGTCCAAATCCATTTTTCTTCGATCGACGCGTCCGGTCCACCTCGACCGACTCGACCACCAAATATCGTGTGGTATACCCTAGCCATCGTATCTGATCCGTCGAAGTCAGCTGACCGACGCAGTGCAATCAAAGGTCCGGTGCTTACAGATTCAGCGTCCGGCCATCGGACCGACGCCAAAGATCATTTCGATAAACTCCATTTCAACTCTTACTTCTTCACCCTTGCTCAAGTGTGCCAACCACCAAGAATTTTGCATCCGCTAATAGAAAATAGACATTTCATTTTTCCGAAAGCGCCGAATCCCGCCGAGCAAGCTCGGCGGGAGGGAGAGAGGGACCCAAACCCATCTCAACCCTACAAACACCTTGTGCACATGTGGTAGCATATTTACACAAATATTATCAAGGGTGTTAGCACTCCACTAGATCCTAAATGCATATGCAATGAGTTAGAGCATCTAGTGGCACTTTGATAACCGCATTTCGATACGAGTTTCACCCCTCTTAATAGTACGGCTATCAATCCTAAATGTGATCACACTCTCTAAGTGTCTTGATCACTAAAACAACATAGCTCTTACAAATTATACCTTTGCCTTGAGCTTTTTGTTTTTCTCTTTCTTCTTTCCAAGTCGAAGCACTTGATCATCACCATGCCATCATCTTTATCATGCTATGATCTTCATTTGCTTCACCACTTGAAGTGTGCTACCTATCTCATGATCACTTGATAAACTAGGTTAGCACTTAGGGTTTCATCAATTCACCAAAACTAAACTAGAGCTTTCACTCGCTCCTTCCCACGATGTGCGCGCCCGCCTGCGACACTTGGCTCCCCATTATCGGGCCGTGCTCCATCCTACGCAGCGCCCCGCGCCTCATCTCCTCCCCCACACCCCACACACTACCGCGTCCGTCCCCCACCCTATCGTAGACCGGCCGACTGGCTCCGATGGGATACGTGCTGTCGGCGGTGGCGAGGGTGCTAGAGCAGCCCACAACATTGGAGGTGGCCTGGGAGACAGCGCTCCTCACGGGGCCCCTCTGGGCGGCGGCCCTCCTCGGATAGGCTTCGCTGTTGCCACTCCAGTGCCTCCGCCAGGGCTGCCTCCATGCGCTCCCTGTCCTCCTGACCGATCTATCGTAATTCACGACCTGGTAGGCCGTGGCGGTGCGGCGAACGTTGTGTTTCAAGTGTTTCAAGCGTTTTAGACCTTTGTTTCAATTGTTTTATCTGGATGTTGCAAAATGTAGATCTGAAATGTTGCATATTTTGCAATGACAAAATACACATGTTGCAGGGCTATGTTTCAAGTGTTACAGGTGTTTCAGATGTATGTTGCAAATGTTTCATCTGGATGTTTTAAAAGTAAATTTTGGTGTTGTACATGTTGCAATGGTTATATACGCATGTTTCAAGCACATGTTTCAGTGTTTCATCTGTACCAGACGTATGTTGCAAATGTTTCATTTGATGTTGCAAATGTTTCATTTGATGTTGCAAAGTAGATCTGGTGTTGCACATATTGATATGGCCATACACTCATGTAGCCATGCACGTATGTTTTAAGTGTTTTATCTGTTTTAGACATATGTTACAAGTGTTTTATTTGGATGTTTCAAAAGTAAATCTTGGGAGAGCACATATCGTAATGGCGGTGGTGGATGATGAATAGCGGCTAGGGAATCGCAAGTGTGCGCAGCACGTGAGTGGCTGCTGCAAAATCTCTACAGCATTTTTTACGTATGTGTGTACTGTACTCAGCATTGGAGAAACCGTGGAAGGCAACGTGTATACGTACATGCACGTATACGTACGTAACTGCACTCTGGCAGAGTTAGGCGCTTGCACGTTGTTCCTGGTGCTTAAAGCCGTGAGATGATACCGAACGTCCACTAATACGCACAAGCTTTATAGGGGCGTTTGCAGATCCTTTTTAGAGGTGGTTTTGTCAGCAGACTTATGGATGTGTTGCTACAAATTGAAGATTTGCAGAGGCGATTGGCCAGCCACCTCCATAAATCCGATTTTTACGACGGCTGATGATTTGTAACTACGAATCTATTTTCTAGAAATCACGAATCCAAGCAAAAAAATACGAAAAAAAATTAATCCGAGGAGGCCTCCACCGGTCAACCACACATCACGGCCTCCAGGGTTCGAACCCGCAACCTCGGACATGCGCGTTCCCTCCTCTAAGAGCACCTTCAGTGTACTGAAAAAACAAACCGTGGGCAGAAGTAATCGAACCAACAACATTGTAGGATGCGAACCATGGTTCTCAGATCTCAAATCGGATGCTGCAGACGGTTCGAACCGGAGAGAATAAAATAAGCCGCATCGGAGTATGCATGCAAGCTACTGAGACATGCATAGGAGAGAAAAACGTTGCTTTTTTGTTTGTTTATTGTTACGCAGGTCCCACTAGGCGATTTAGCACTAGAGCAGTCGAACCTCTAGCCACGAAATCCAACGATGTCAGTTTGGTTCGATTTTACACTGCAGGTGCCCTGACCACTCCACCCAACACACACTTGTGTGATTTTCTTTCTCCTCGTATTATCCTCAACCGAGTTTAAATTGAGTGTTTCAGACCATAAACGAATTCAAATTAAAAAGTTATCAACTACAAAGTTGTATAACTTTTTGAGATCTACAACTTTCATTTTTGCTTCATAGCCATCCAAGGCCGTTTAAAAAATTCGAATTTCAAATTTTAAATCTTCAAATATAGTTTTCTTTGACAAGATGATATTAAATCAAAAAGCTATCAACTACAAAGTTGTATAACTTTTCAAGATCTACAACTTTCATTTTGCTATTTGTTCATCCGATGTCGTTTAAAAATTTAAATTTTAAATTTGAGAAATTCAAATGTAGTTTTTCTTGTCAGGATGATTTCAAATGAAAAAGTTGTCAACTATAAATTTCTATAATTTTTTCAGATCTACAATTTTCGTTTAGGTTGTTTCTCCATCCGTGGTCGTTTGAAAAATTCAAATTTTAAATTTTAGAAATTCAAACGTAGTTTTCCTTGACAAGATGATTTCAAATAAAAAAGTTGTCAACTATAAAGTTTTATAACTTTTCTAAATCTACAACTTTTGTTTTGGTCATCTTTTCATATGACTTTATGAAAGGTTCTAATATGGCTCGATGGGGGTGAATAGACTATTTAAAAACTCTACAAGACACTAGAGCAATTGATAAGTACAACAAACAGCGTAATGCAATTTTTCTCTAGCACTACAAGGGTTGCAAGCCACCTATTTCAATAATTCTAGTTGTTATGATCTCTAGCACACACAACAAGCTAAGTCACTACTCACTAAGCTAGTGTGTTCTCAAATACTAACTAAAGAGCCACACTAACCAAACTAACAAGCTCTCAAAAACTAACTATACTAAAAAGCTTGATAACTAGGTTGTAATGAATGTAAAGGAGTGAGTAGGGTGCTTATACCGCCGCGTTGAGGAATAAACCAATCACAAGATGTATACAATCCAATCACCGGAATAAATCCAATCACACAAGAGACAAGATTTTTCTCTGAGGTTCACGTGCTTGCTGGCACGCTAGTCTCCGTTGTGTCGACCAACACTTGGT